GGATGGGGGAAGGCTGTGCTCTCCTGCAGGAGGGGGGTAATGAGGGCTTCCCCACATCTTCTGTGGTAAGCAGTGGCAGAAAGCAGCAAGCATGGCACCAGGGCAGGGAGGAACAAGATCTCCCCCCCCACCCAATTCCCCACCACAGAACTCTCCCTCCCGCCCATACCCCCACATCAAAACAGATCCTGTGCGTTCCTGAGGAAGGGAAAGTTTGGGGACAAAAAGCAGCTTCCCAGCAAGGGAAGCATTCAAAGCTACCCTCAGGCACGGGGGGGGGGAGGAGAGGCCTAAATAAGGTTTTGGAGAAAGAGGGACCCCCACTTGTTCTGCAGTATTTGAGTCTGCAGGTCACATGCAACTAGGAAAGTCTGAGCACTGGGTGAGGGCACATTTTGGACAGGTCACGGGGCCACGAGGCACCCACAGAGCTGATGGAACAACCGCCTAGGCCAGGGCACCGAGTGGAGCAGTCAAGCTCGCCAACCTAGAAAACGGAACTGGCCCTGTAAGCAAGGAAGTTCTCTGCTCCCAGCAGCCCCTGCTGTTTTGAAACCATCAGACCTGGAGCAGCTCTCTCACCTTGTAGGAGCAAGACCGAGGATAACGAAGGGGGGGGGGAATGGGCTCCAATGTGGATTTAACCCCCTACCCCATCCCAACATACTCCGCTCTCCCTAACTGGGAAGGTAACTGTGCACGGCTAGAATCTCCCATCCAAAGTGGTTTCTTGGGGGGGGGGGGGGGGAGAGAAGGGGGAGAGGAATGCCCTGGTGGAAGAAGTGGGGAGAAGAGCTGGCTGGTGGGATTGTCCTCTTCCCTCTCCAGGTCCAAATGCAGGTAACGGAGAAGAACAGTTTGCAGCAGCCAAAGTCCAGGCGCCCCCGACCACGACCAGGAGGAAAGACTGCCCCGGCCCTGGGAACGGGGTCCAAGGGCAGGAGGGCGCTCCCAAGATCCCTAACCCCTGGGGCCTCCTCCTCCTCCACTGGCCTGACGAGGGAAGCCTCTCTGCAGTAATGCCCATCGAAAAGCACGAGCACCCTGGCCTCCCCCACCCCACCCCAGCCTACCCGGCGTTCATAGCCCAGGCCCCGAAACCATCACCAGGAGGGAAAGGAGGGCGAGCTCACAAGAGAGGCACTGTGGGAGACTCAAAGCAGAGGTGGAGGAGGAGGAGGAGCTCTTGCTGGGAATGGAAGTGGATTATTTTATTTTTTTTGCTGTGTTTGGTAATTTAAAACCCTGCCTAATGTGCAACCAAAAGAGAGAGAGAGAGAGAGAGAGAAAGAGAGAGGAAAAAGTACCATGGTCACCACGGAGACCAAAAGGGATGCCCCCCAACACCGTCGCTATAGAGACCAACAGCCCTTGGTACACTCCCACTACCGTTGCCACGGAGACCGGCCTGGTGGCTGCCAGCCACCACCCCACGCACTCTGTCTCCATGGAGATTCGGCAGCGGGGAGGGGGGGGTGTCCCCAAACACCACTGCTGCCCCCCATCCCCCCTTCCCCAACCGCCCGCCCCCGTCCTGCACCAGGGTATCAAAAAATAAACCCTTCCAGAGTTAAAACTGCAGCTTTACTCCTAACCACCCCCCCATGCGCGTGCAGGCCGGGCCCCCCCTGGGGGCTTGTTAAAGCTTCAGTTCGTTGGCGATTTTTGAGGCAATGTTCTTGAAGGCCATGGAGGTGCCGGATATCCGCTTGAAGCGGACGCCGTTGAGCGAGAGGCGCGGGAGCTTGCAGACCTCCATCTCCCACTGCACAAAGGCCTCGTGGCCCGGCGCTCCGTGCATGCAGAGGAGCATGTACTTCTCCTGCAGCTCGCACTGGCAGTTGTTAGCGTCCAGCACTTTCCGGATCTCCTTCATCATCTCGTTGGGCTCCATGGAGCTCGTCGTCTTCATGCTCCAGGTGAACCGCAGCGAGCGCGGCTTGGCCTCCCGGTTCTCGTCCCGCTCTTTGTCCCCGCTGCTGCCGACCATGTGGGGCCTGAGGCGGAGGAAGAGACAGACAGACAGTGAGGGAGGGGGGCGTGGCACTCGTGCCCTGCCCAGCCCAACTGGCAACGGAGAGCTAGAAAGAGAGAGCGAGAGAGAGCGAGGGGGAAAGTTAGGGAGCGACAGGAGAGAGAGAGACACGCACGCACGCACACACAGGCATAGGGACCAGACGGAGAGCAGAGGCCGAGGAGCAGCCTGGCCCTGCCGGAGAGACAGACAGAGTGGAGCAGAGTCTTCCCCAGGCACTGGCTGCATCTCACCTGAGCGTCTCCACACGGTCTTTGCTTTCGGGCTCATGCAGGTTCCTCAAAAAACAGAGCGGGAGACAAGATGTCAGGTACCCTCGAGGAGTTAGCAGCTCCTACGCCTGAGCTCCTGCCCTCCAAAACGGGGTGGGGGATGTTTCCCTGTGTGGCTCTGGCCCTGAAGGGGGCGGGGGCAGGAGGGCGGAGTCGACAGGTCACTTGGGGTGCAACGGCTGACACAGCAGTGGCTTAACCAGGAGAGAGGACACTGGAGCGGGGTACAAAACGGCCCAAGGCGGCACCTTTCTCCCCAATCCCGCTCGCTCGGCAAGCAGAAGCTACCTCCAAGCAAGGGGACTGGGGGGGGGGCGCGTAGGGAGGAAGAAGGGCTGGCATTATCGGTTGAGAGGCTGAGCTGTGAACCAAGAAGCCTCAGCCACAACTTGCTGGCTGGCCTCAAGCCAGCCACCCTCTGCTCAGGTCTGCAGCCCCGGCCTACCTGAGCGGGTGCCGAAAGGATGACCAAGGTTAACACGCGCGACACGCTGTGAACATGGGACCTGACCTCTGGGCATTGTTTGGGCACATGGAAAGAGCTCTCCCGGCTCCTCTGCCCTCCTCCTCACCCCCAAATATGCTGCTGCAATTGCTGTGCCCACACCCAGGGCCTCAAACCGCACGTTTGCAGGGCGATCACGATGCAAAGGGGTAGGGAGGGAAACGGGGTTTTCCTGCAGAGGTGCTGAAGCCAGGGGGTCCCTCCCCCACAGGGATCGCTCGCAACAAACTAAGCAGTTTGTCTGGTCAGAATTTCCACAGCGTCT